TTATTTAATCCATTTTTGATAAACCAAAAATTTAATTTAGCCAGCATAAGAATGGTCCTTGTAGTATTTTAATCACACACACACAGCACAACACACACACACACACGGGTGACTCTAGACCACGAACCTGAGCAAGTATCCTGGACTTTATTATTTAATTAGCCCGAGCTGTAATTTTTTTTTTCCACCTCCTTATTCTGCCCGGCAACATCGAAAAATAGTCATATCGACTAAAGTAAAGGCAAAACAACACAATAACCTGGGTTTTGGAACAGTAACATAATATTGTTAATATGTTTAAAAAAAAGCATCCTTTTTCAAAGATGAACAGCGTTTTTGTCAGTTAATGACACGTACAGCAACACCATCGAGCATCAACACAAAACACACCACGATCATACCATCACACACACACTGGTTCCAAAATCCGAACAGTAGCTGGCCACATCGAACACACACAGCACAGTCACCCACAGCTATTCCAAAGATCAACACCATCACGCACAATCCACATTTGACAAGCGTTGGTTCAAAGAGTGACGACAGAGTGGCGCAGCGGAAGCGCTAGCTAGCACCACACAAACACACAGCACACACAACACACACAGCACACACACACACACACAACACACACACACACACACACACACACACACACACACACACACAACACACACACACACACACCACACACCTTGGACTGAGCAGAGCGGCCCCTCTTGGTAAGGCAGGGCACACATGTAAGGTGCAGTTTGGCTGTGGGACGAAGAGAGATGAATGTACATTTGACTAGAGTCTGTATATTCAACATTCAGAACTGATTTCAGACCTTTATGTTCAAATGATGTCTTAAACTCATTGAGGTTTTTGGGAGGCTGCAGTTAAGGCAGTGGGGAGGCACTGCACTCAAATCACTGTGTTTAAATAAGGACCAATCCGCTCGTATTCTGGGTGCAGGCCATTTGAAAAAACATACCTGATTGGCTTAGCATTGAGCTGCTCCACCTCACAGCACGTTAACAACTAAGTGGAACGACTTTACTAAGCCTTTTTACAGCACTACTTGGGTGCAACTCCTTCCGTAAAGAAGTTAACAGCTGCAGAACCACACATGACTAGAATCAAGAATGCTGCATCTGTCCACACCGCGCCACAACTGCCTCTCCTGCAGATGCCTAACATCGGTGACAGTGGACAATCTTCCCAAAAGCACATAAGGCTTTGCAGCATTAAGTTGATTTAGGTGAAACTGGATCCTATATCATTAGGTCATGTGTAGTAATTGGGCTGCAAATGAAGCGGGGTTAGTGAATACAATCTAACCGTTAAACGTCATTTAATGTGTTAATGGTGTTATGGTTTATAAAATCTGTGTTAGCAATATTATTCGACTTATTTAGGTATAGGTGATAGTAAAATCGCATATTACTTCATGACGAGCCTGATATTAGGATGCGATGACGCATATTGCGCGTCCTGCGAGTCTGTATAAGAGAAGCTACATGCTTCTGTGAGAAAGCTAACCCGAGAGTTGGACCATAGATCCACCCCCACCAACCTTCAAGTGACGACCAGAGATGTGGAACCGACCGTAACATAGACGGTAACCAGTAACCATCTAATCGAAATAGTGTTAAATGAGCAGCTTAACTCTTTAGGCTCAAAGTGGACACTATGTATTCTTTTGCATTTGCAAGAAGACATATTTAGTCAGAAACATTCATGGTTGCTATGCTCTCCACAAGAGACTTGAGCAACTTTTGGAGTTCAGATGACAACACACCTTTTGACGGGTGATTTTCAAGAAGGAATCAGTTGAACACGACCTTATTCAAGGCATCGAGAGGGCGAGAGCCAATATCTGTCAGCGCAGCAATTGCACAAATGCGATAACATGGAGGCATCATGATAAGCAAAGCGCAGGATGCTCCCCTAGTTCTATTATCACGACAGCGCACTTACTAACCAAGCTAGAGCTCACAGCTAGCACATCGTCGATACTGTCACATTCGGTGTAATGAGCAATCAACAAGCGAGACAGCGCGGAGGTGAGATTCCATGTATAGCTATCTTACGGCGTAAGTGGAAAGCGCGCAGCACAAAATACAGAACACGGTGAGAAGTGAAGGGCAAAGAACAAAATAATGGACAGGGGGCGCGGTCAGTCAATTAAGGCAGGTGATCTATTTCTCATATAATGCAGAGGCATTCATTGCGCTGATTCTGAGAACAGACCATCACAGGACGCAATAAGACTGGAGCGTAGGAGGGAGGGTATTATTGTTTCTTACCTCTCATCAGATTCTAGCAGAAAGGGCTGACGACGGTCAGCCAGCCGCATACGAGAGCGCCCTGCGAGAGCGGGACAGACTCAACGTACGCAGTTCCTCCCCTCCTGAGGCCGTCTGGGGGTCGGATGCCGCACACGTTCCCGACAATAATCGGTCTTTCTAAACTCACTTGCGCGCGTCATTTCATTGCCTCCACACGCCATTCCCAGTTCTCCACACACACTAATCTGGACAGGTACATGTCCAGGATAGAAGAAAGCGAGAGGAGAGGAGGGAGGAGGGAAGGGGCTGGAAGCTGAGGAGGGGGGCGGCAGCAGACATGAGAGATAACAGGGCACAATGTCGTAGTATGCTCTCCATTCACGCCCCCACCATAAATTGGGATTCGAACCGTGTGTCACCAGCCTGTGCTGCCAGCACACGTATGCACGACGCGCCGAGCCTTGCAAGTTGGAAGAGACGAGGCAGCCGCTCTGCGGACCCGCGGACGGGTGGATGACTGTGGTTGGTGACGAGGGTCTGGGGCCAGGGGCGCGAGCGAGAGAAGATGGCACAAGAGTGTACGTGTTCGTTGACCGCACTGTAGGTTACACATTCTTCGGCCCTGAGAGCCAATATGTCGCAGAAGCCAGAAAGAATGGCTCCGCTCTTGTATAGAGAATGAGAGCGAGCGCCGAGTGTGGAGAGCGTGGAGCTTGACTGACTGCGCCCGCGCGTGACGACAGTGTAGCTTTGCGGTCCGGCTTCCATTGGGTTTACGACGGTCCTTGACGGACACACAGCGTCAGAGGTTTAGAAAGAACAAGAAACCTGGGAACAGGTCAGGGCCCCCTACACAGGCTGCCGTTCTTCTCAGATGGGCCAGAGAAGACAGTATAGAAACCAGGATACGTGGTCGGGTGCGGGCTTAGTTCGGTTACAAGACGCCTGTCGAAGTGACTCAACCCTGCTAAACTGGAGCGCAGGGGAAGAGCGCGAACTTTGCGGGCGGCAGGGGGGCGAGCGACAAGCTTCCAACATCTCACACGCAGCTCGAGCCGCTGATTTCGGGGCGACCAACAAGGGTTCTTATATATGAGTGCACCAGAGCCGCCCAGACTAGCGACCACCGCACTCCACGAAGCAAGTCGTTGCCTTGTGACCCCCGAAGACGGCCTGCGCGCGAACCTGAGCTGACAGTCATAAAAGGTTGCCAGCACTACCCGAGTCCACACAGTAATGGAGTTCATTGAAGTACGAACACCAAAAAGTCTTCCTGGTGCGCTCAGCCTGGGTCGACTGGAGGAGAGCGAGAAAAAAGGAGTGTCGCACAAGGGTCTTTTTGCCTTGGACAAACATCTGAAGATCACGCTGTGGGACCTTAGAATCAGACATTCTGTAGGCAATAGAAAAAGGAGAGATAGAGGAATAGACAGAGAGGAGGAAGAGGTAGACGAGGAAGGAGAGGACGATCGAGCTAGGCCGATCGGAGAGCGACGACGAGATACGTACGACGACGAGATGGTCTCGGAGCCGAGAGGAGGTGGAGAGTGAAGTCAGGTGGCTTGAGGTATTTACCTGGTTTTCAACAACACGAAAAGTTGCATTAGCAAGCGACACTTGCTAACAATGTTCTATAATCAGGGGGTGTCAAAACTCAATACAGGTGGGCCAAAATAAAAAAAAAGTGGTAACTAGTGGAGGGCCGGATCTGTTCAATGTTTTATTGCAGAACTTTATTGAAATGAAACGTATTACACATATTATACCTGGAACCAACAAAGCTTCAATGATGGCCTATAAAAACAACATTAAACCATGAAAATAATCAGTTGCATTCATTTCTTATGGCTCTATCTGCAGCATTTCCCAGAGTCATTTCTTATGATTAACATTTTCCACAGGCCAACAGCAGCTTCAAAAAAACCTATTTCCCTAAGAACAAACCAAACATGCCCTGGTTGTCGGTGAAGAGAAAAATTGCAGAAGGAAACCATCCATTAACACTCCAGTGGTGCTGCTCTGTGATGCTAGTTCAGTTCCGTATTTTTCCGGACTATAAGTCGCCTCCTGAGTATAAGTCGCATCCAGCCAATAAAGCGTCAGTGAAGAGGAAAAAACGTATATAGGTCGCACCGGACTATAAGTCGATATTTAATTCAGATATTTAATTTTCCAAATCCAAGCCAATAACAGACTTTACGGTAAACTGAAAGGGAAGTTATTAACTACAACAGGTCCGGTAATGTTTAACGCACACACATACCTTCTACCTGGAGGCTGGCTCTGCGAGTCGGGCTAGGGTGCATGCTTCTACCCTATCCCTTGACGCGCTCCCGCGAAGACGCTGGGACAGACGCGGGCATCTCGGACGCACCCACCGAGCATTCGGGACGCTGGGCGGTAGGGGTGGACCCGCGCCGCACCGGACACAAGACGGCGGCTAACAACAGGACGGCTAACAAGCTAACAAGACGGCTAACAAACAAGATGGCTAAACAGCAGCTAACCCCGGAAGAACCGTCCGTCTCTTCTTCGTTTTTTTCAGTGGTCACAGACAGCCATATAGTTGTCACAAAGCCGAGAGCGCACCTCACGGCTGTAGACAGTTTCTTGTCAGTCAGCCATGAATTGACATTTAAAACATATATACGTCGCTCCTGACTATAAGTCGCAGGACCAGCCAAACTAGGAAAAAAAGTGCGACTTATAGTCCGGAAAATACGGTACTTGGCATCTCATCTTGGGTGCAAGGTCATCAATGTTTGGGCTCAGGCTCTGAGCTTGAGTGAAGGTGTGCGTGCAATATACCGGCGGGTCAGATCTAATAGTAATTAGAAATGATCCTGTGGCCTCGAGTTTGACATAATGTGTTCTCTAGGACATTCTGACGCATAAGAATGGAGCATGGGAAGCTTTTTGACTACAGACTCAACTGAGCAGCAAGCATTGTGCGGACTTGTTAGGTTATTATTTGATCAGATACTGTATTTCTAGAATTATATATGGATATTTGTATTTCACAAGATGTTAAATTGCACAATTAGATGTGATTAATTGGTTTCTCACTCTGTCGTTTTTTGTGCTTTATTATATCTTGCGGCTTGTTTTGATCCACATGTTATTATCTTTTACTAAATGTGTGATCAAACTTCACAAAAGTGTTCTGCATCTAAAACCAGCAGAATGATTTTCACCGACATGCTATCTGTAGTTAAAATACACAGGACAGTTTGTGAACAGCCATGTGCGCTCACCCAAGTCACTGCTTGGAAATATTTGGAAGAGGTCAAGGGTTTGAAACCCCTAGATTGCCAGGTCATATAAATAATGGAACACAATTAACCAAATGACTGGACAACATACAAAGCAAAGCAGCAAAGCAGATGTGATAACTTTAATACAATTAAGATGCGGTATACCAATCATACTTGAATAATTTAGTATTTGGGTAGAAAGATGCAATAAGATAAAAGGACCAGCTACACTAAGGCATGGTTTTGCTAGTTACTCTGGTAACTGCATGGCTCTGACAATCTGGGTTATTGCTCAACAATCAACCTACATTTGAGTGAGATCAAAAAATATCCTACTGCCAAATTACAGGAAGAGCAATATTTATAAAAAGACAAAATATAAATCAAATCCCATTCTAAATGGAAGAATTGTAGCTCGATACAGATCCAAATGAAAATGGGAATTATGTAAAAGATATCCCTGCTGTTGCTGAAAAGTGTTTAGTCCTTATATGACCCATTTTATGTGCATGTAAACGAGTCAGTCTCCATCTTAGTGCAGACTTCACTCAGTGTTCAGCACTGTTATTCTGGCAGCAGAAAACACCATCTGCTTCATCTATTAGTGACTAAGCAGTGGGTTTACACTCAGGTTCATCTGCAAGTGTTACCAAAAAGCATTCTGATGTAACAAGCACTCATCCATGTACAGTGGGTGGGAGTCTCAAAGAAACAGAAATGGGATGGAGGTTGAGGTTGAGGCTGATTTGCACAATTTATACTAGTGATCAGGTTAGTCTCAAAATGTATGTCATTAAAATAGCAGTGCTTTTCATGAATGGGCTGAACACTTGTAGTATAGGCTATCTACTATCAGAGACTTGGTTGGATGCTGAGCAAATTCTAGCCCATTGAGAACCTTTGGCAACTCTGGGGCATTACTTGCTGATTTTTTGGTTCATTCTGTAAAATATTCTGTGTATGAAAATATATTTTTCTTATATCATTCTTGTCAAAAAACATTTTACATTCACTTAAAGGTGGGGTAGGTAATTTTGGAGAAACCAGCTTGAGTGCACTAGAATTTGAAAATACACAGCCGGAAAAAATCTGCCCACTTCCTTGCAGAGCCCCTCCTCCAACACACACGAACGCGCACATGACCAATGAGGGCACGAGATAAGTTTGTGCATAGATGGAAGGCTGACAGGCAGGTTGGCCATCCAGTTGTTGTAGCCGGGCCGGCTCAGATCATTGGTCGTGCTTTTTACAGTACTACGGCTTCCACAGATTACATTTTGTAATGGATTTTTTGTCAAAGCACTTAAGATATTCATTGCTATTGGGATGCTAAGAGCATTCCATGGAATATAAAAACAAGTGTATCTCGAGCCGGTTTCTCAAACTTACCTACCCCACCTTTAAAGAAAAGCATTTAGATGAGAAAATATGTTTGTACTTTTAGCATACAGTATAAATGCCAGTGACAAAAAGATACCAAAGTTATCTTTCCAAGAAATGTTGACAGTGAGCAGAATAAAAGCAGAGCGAAGTCAAAAGGGCCACTAAGAATGTGAGTGTCTTACTTCCAGAGGTGTGCGCTGATGTGCTGCTCCAGCATGCTGCTTAGAGCCGACCTCAGGTGGTGGAGTCTGCGGTCAAACGTGTAGATGCCGTGACCCAAAGCATGGCTGCCAAATGAACATACCTGCAGAGAGAAGGCTGGTTGTAAATCTGTTACAGGCAGGTGAGTTAACCTCCAAGAGAACACCTTGAAGATGAAATAGCGTTGCACAATCACCCTCTATCCACCTAATAAATCAATACATGTGGTATCTGCTTGTCTTTAATTTTGTTAAACCCAAGTACAAACGGCTCACCGCTAGAGGTCTGGGATGTGCAGCAGAAGATGGGAACTCAACGGGCTCCTCGGGTCCCTCTGCCTCACTTTCATCACTGGAAATGTTTCCATGGACCAGAGGTGAGGGGGCTCGGACCCCCCCCTCGTCCTGCTGCTCATCCTCTGTGTTGCTCTCCGACACAGAAGAAGGCTGACTGTAAAACACACATTCGACTTTTTGCTTCATCCTTTTTTCTTTTTTTTTGGATCCACAAAATTACATTCGACTATATTCAACAACATCATTTTTCTAACTGACTAAGTGCTCTCACTTAGCACCACCTCTAAGCCCCCTTCCCAAAGGACTCGGTGTGATTTTATTGGCTGGTGAGATAAATTGCAAGTAGCTGCACAATATGTGTATATGTGCGTGTGCAGAAAAGTGTTGCAATTGTAAATGCCGAGTTAAATGTGTGTTAGTTTTGATCAAATTCATAATATAAATTGTGCTAAACTAAACACCACTCTCTCTGACAGAACACCTCACTGAGTGATTTCACTCATATGTCTAACTTTGAGGTTTCTCTTTTCAGCCGCAGACCCCATGTCTCCTCTTTATGTGTGTCGCTAAGCTCCTCGTACTACTTGTGTACTTTAAAGCGGCTCGGCATCGTTTACAATTTGAGAGCGATTTTTCAAGTTGATCGTCTTTCTTGAAAATCCGAAGTGTTGCCAAACGTTTGATTTGTAGGTATTTGTCGGTGCGCTGTGTTTCTCTTTCTCCTCGACTTCCATGTGTGTTGATAACTGAGACTCTCGGCCTCCGTAGAGCGAAGCAAAGATCAAAGATCGTCTCTGCTGATTGCTGACAGGATATTATATGAATGAATCTTTTTTTTACCGATGCAAAGACGCTACAATCGGTGCATCGCGAGTTCAACCCAAACTGTAGCCGATGTGCACTCTTTCAACCGGTGCACTCGCATCTTGAACGTTTATGCCGGTGCACCGATGCGAATCGGTGAATCTTAACATCCCTACTCCATACACACATCTTTATCCGAGCTGGCGTCAGTAAAGTTCACTAACCTGAACGCAGGGAGGCTGGCCATGGGTCTCCTGCAGTGTGGGGCCCCCGTCTGTTCCACGGGGGCCTCTGGGCTGGGGGAGTTTCCATCCAGGGATTGGGCCCCTTTTTCACGGACCTTGGTCTTCAGTTCTGCCACTAGCTGGTCAAAGTTCTTGCTGCGCCCCATCACTTTCCTCCGCTGGTGGATGGAGTGAATCTGAGGACAGAGGAACAGCAGGTCAGTCACTGCTGCATTTCAAATAAACGGACACAACTTGTATTTGGTGAAGGACCCAAAATGATGGATTTCTAGACTCTTTGGGTAATTGCTGTTGTGTATCCTTCTAATAATGATAATGCATTTTAGTTATAGAGCGCTTTTCTTGAAACTCAATTGAGTTTTGATTTTTCTGATTTGAAATCAGGGGGAGTCACAGGTGTGTTTGGGGAGTGAGTTCCAGAGGGAGGGGGCAGCGACGGAGAAGGGTATGTCCCCCCAGGTTCGGTGCTTGGTCCTATGAGGGAAAGGGCGGAGGCTGTGGGTAGGAGTGTGGTGATTAGGGTTGCAAAGGGGCGGAACACTTCCAGTACATTTCCATGGGAAGTTAAGCTGGGGAATTTTGGAAATATTGGAAACTTTCCATGGGAATAATGGGATTTATGGGAATTTATGGGAACTAACTGGGAATTGAGGGTAATGTCACAAATCTAGATTAAAATTAAGATTTAGAAATGAGCCGTTGCGACTTCCTGATTTCGATGGAGCGGGTAACATATGAGCACAGCCCTCTGTGGATGTCAGCATGAGATCCATGAGCAGAATCGTGTTTTCCAAGAAAAGTGGGAGAAAGAATATATTTTCACTGAATTCAGGGGTAAACCACAATGTTTAGTATGTTTGCAGACCGTTGCTGTAATGAAAGTAAGCAACTTGAGCGGCCACTACTACCCCCTGGTGGCCAGTACATAAATGATGAGGCCCCCACCACCATCCAAGTTGCCCATCCCTGATGTATATGGTGGAAACATCCGGTTGATGGTCCCTGACATTTTCAAAGGCTGTGTCACTGTTATTCATCCTTCACTTTGACATGGCTGGAGGATTGAGAAGATGGCATAACCCTGCGTGGGTAACATAAAGGTAGCTAATGTGACATGGCATGAAGTGATTCATATAGACTACTACTACACTTTCAAATCATCTTACGTGAAAGGAGTCAAAGGACGATTAGCGACCTTGTGTGCAGACACGTGGGCTGATCTGTAGTAAGGCAGAAAACACATCTGGGCTTATAGAGGCAGCTCACATGCTCCCAGGCACTTTATCGCCATGGCACGCTTTACTGTCAAACATGGACTAACACCAAACATGGACACAAGGGTCACTCATGGGTAAAGAGGGGGCATTGTGGGAGAAAATGAAAAGAAAATAGTTAGACCACAAGTCTAATGGCCGTGCAGAGGTTTAACTTTGATCTCCACTGATTGGAACAGGCAGCTAAGTGTTTTAGAAAACTCTAGAAGGCACATTTTTGTTTGAGGCAAAGGCCCCCCAAACCCTCCATGAAGTCCTTGTAAAACCACTGGCAGCCATGTCAGCATTATATAATGCATATGAGAGTATTCACTGTGAAGACAAAAGAGACTGCTCTTAAATGGCTTTAGGGCACTAAGTGACCAAAAAGAAAGGAAAGCTACAAGGTTGTTTGCCAGTTTACGCTTTGGTGCATTGCGGTGACCGTTGATTACAGGGCTAACATGAACATTACTTTTTGCATGCAATGTGATGCACTGGATGTTGCATATTGCAAAAATTGCACAAATTCCTCTTTCTCCCAACAAACATTATTTTGCTCTGGATCGTGTGTCGACTTCCTGTTGCCAGTTGGTGCCGCTATGATTATGACCTGTAAAAGTCCTCAGGCCTGAACCCTTATCATGCATTCGGGATGTAGGGCCAATAGGAATATGCACATTGGAGTTATACCAACTTCCTGTTTCATTACAAATTGTGCAAAATTGCCAAATTGAACTGTTGTTGGTGCTCAGACTCTAATATATTACATCACGTATTACTTGCAAGCCAAGCAATAACAAGAAGTAAATGGAGAATAGATGGCAGTTCGAGCAAAAATCACAAGCCTATTAATACGGCTGTGGAGACTTTTTACCGCAAGACTGTTGACAGCATTATGTTAAACCATGACAGGCTTATGGGTGTTAGTGCTCTCATTTCGCTGAACAAGACACAGGACTCACAATCCTGTCACAAGGCTTAAAAGTCCATGAATTCTCATGTCATTTACCTGCTCTGTGGCCTTAATTGGCCAGAAACAGTTGTGCAATAGCAGTCAACCAGTCATGCATTCAATAATGACGGCCACCGGAACCTTTGTGCTAATCTTCACTAAAACTGCCTGAACTTGACTTACTTAATGCTCCAATTTGGCCTTAAGTGGAGAAATTAGGCAATTACAACATTTGAGAAACAAGTTTAATCCAAACCCAGTATCATGGGTTGGTGTACCTGATATAAAGCCTTAATTCAGGATTTCTCCAACACACCCTAAACGGGACGTATAATAATAGTAAGTGTTTTCTGACACTATTAAGTTGTTACTGCATGTCAGCACCCCTACAGAATCTCAATCAGCTGTGATTTTCAAAGCAAAACCTTGTATGCCCCCGTCAAATACCTTTTCACTTCAAATCATATCAATTGAAATCTATTTTCTTGGAGAAAAACGTATATAGAATATTTGACTTCACTGTTGAAAAGGTCACTCTTTAAAGGAAAAAAAGTTAAGCTCCCTGAGGTTGGCTTATTTCCAGCCCTGCTATGCAGCCAAGTGCATTAAGCTGTCCAGATGAAGTGCCACAGCCGACCAAGCAGAACAACAACTTATGCCTGCCTGTACTGGACGGGGTGGGGCCGCCCGGGTCAGGTTTGGACTCCCTTGGGCCTGGGGCATTCTGGGACCAAGCCACCATTAACTACCACTAATGAGTCGAGTGTGATTGACCTGATGTGATGGGACATGTGGGGGAATGTGGCTCTGCTGGTTAGAGGGGTGTAGCAGCAAAGATTGCATTTTGATGGTAAAGATGATTCATCTCTGAGGGAAGAGGAGTATAATCATGACGAAGAGGGAAGTGCTAGCTTCCTCATTTATCCTGCTGGGGAAGTCATTCAGAAGAAACATTTCTCAAGAGTTTTGTTTTTTGTAGAACAAACTATAAGTGTTAGTTCAGTAATCTATGAAGTTCTCAGTTTGAGTAGCGCACTATTTTGCTTTTTTAAACTATCCACCTCACTAACTAAACACATAGTTAAAGACAGAACTTGGCCGTTTCAACAATGACTCTCTTCTTGCATTTATATTCCTGGCGTGCAGTGTGTATGTATGACTCTCACAACTCTAAGCAGGAACAGAGGAAAAGAGGGATACTATGTGTGTGTGTGTGTGTGTGTGTGTGTGTGTGTGTGTGTGTGTGTGTGTGTGTGTGTGTGTGTGTCCATGCCTGTGTATTTGGATTTGAAGTGGCTGCTCCCTGCCAGCCAGCCTCCTCCGCCCTTCATGCCTTTTCACAGCAGAGCCAGTGTGCCTGAGGGAGAGGCTGGGAAAACATGTGGGGGAGAGCCTGGAGGAGTAGGAGGGAGACCCTGCCTACCTGCAGCTGACAGAAGTCATGGCAGGCACCCAAAATACGATACCTTAAATATTTGCTTTGGCTCAGTTTGTGTGTTCCGTTAAAGGATGTACTGTTGGCAGGGGCAGTGACATTTTTAACCTGCAATAACAATCCTGCTTTGTAAAACTCGTTTGAAAATGTGTGTATTGTTGAGTGCATCATGCATAATACTTAGCTAATTTGTGTTTGTGATGCATTAGGCAGCAGCACTGTTTCTGTCTCTTGAGTTTTTGTGTGTGGGGAAGTTTTTGGAAAGATGAGCTCGCACGACTGATTTAGTGAATGATATTGCAAATTGCTCAATTACAGCTTGGCCGACGTTCCACCTAAGCATGAGAGCAATCGTTCATTCTGAAGACTTAACAAAGGGGACATTGTTTTTTGTCAGACTTTCCACTTTCTCCATTAAAAGCAATACAGTCGCGGTGACCGGGGCTCCTCCCCTGAGGTTTGAAGCATTGTTCAAAATTGAATGATTACTTTTTCGATACAAGTGCTCTCACATTATCAAAGTGACAGGGATATATGCTAACGGACGCCCTGAACAGTGAGGGTCATCCCCCGGAGGAGATGCAGGGGTAGGTAGGAGCAACAGGGAGCGGCACACGGCCCCAGGCCTCATCACTCTCTGCCAGGCATGGCCCACTTCCAGTGAGTGTCTGTGCTACAGGCAGCCACTCTGCAAAGTCAGAATGATAGATTACGCTAGGTGAGTTAAACAATTACCGTGCAATGTGGAGTTCTATGCCTCATGAATTGCTGGTCTCCCATCCTGAAACATCTCAGGGAAGAGTAATGAATCAACAGGGGGAAACGATAGTTGGATTAACTGCTCAAGTTATTCTTTGATGTTTATAATAACAATATTAAGGGAGATTTGGACTGTCAAAGACTCACTTCTTTCTGTTTTTCATTATCTCATGTGTAGGTTTTTTCAAAGGCTTTAACACAGGCCTAATACCATAAAAATGAACGCTTACGCACATGCACATTATTAAATAATGTCAAACAGGTATTAAAAAAAAGTACATATTTAACTGAATTCTCAAATAAACACAGTCACATTGTGCTTGTATGCATAGCTCTTTATTGTGCAAGGTGTTATCATGCAGATAACTGTCTCGTCTGCCCACTGTCAATACAATAAACCGCCGTCTGAAAAAGCTGGGAAGAAGAGAAAAGGGCATGCGTGACTCTATAGTGACGCACAAGACGCCAGGGGTCAGGCCTGTTTGCTGCGATTTCTGCAGTTATCGGATTATTTCTGCCAGTTTGCAGACATGAGGCTCCCGGGAGACAAAATTGAGATACATTTGGTGGCTGGCAGTCAGGTATCGATACCCAATGGATATCATGCAGAAAGTAGCTTCTACCTGTGAATGTCTGACATTGAGAGATAAGACAAGGGTCATAGGTAAGCGCTTTGAGCACCAGGAAAAGCGCTTTATAAATGTAATGTATTATTATTATTATTATTATTATTATTATTAAATTGGATTGCGTATTTTCTGAAGATATGGCCCA